GTCAAATTTTTATTAATAAAAAAATTTCCATATTGAGCAAAAATCGGGCGTTACTTTTGTTGGCTACTGTACGTACAAAAAATATTAAAGAGAATAGCTTATAGGGGTGTTATACACGCGTTACACGATTGTAGATCGGTAACTATTTACGTATATTTAAATTTTTGTCACGACTGTTGCTTCATCTTGCTATGGTAATTCATTTGTTAACTATGGGTGTTTCTTTGTCTTTCCGATTATCAATTAATGGTCGTCACTTCGACTGTGCGTTTGTCAGCTGTGCTTGTGGTTTTGATTGTTGCTTGCCAGCTGTGTGACGTGACTTCGACTTGCTGGTGATTAGTTTTCGCCATGCCGATTGCGGTTTCATTGCGGTGCACTTGCTGTCTATTGCTTTGTTACAGTATGAGTTCGTCATTTATATTTGATTAGCCTGTGAACATGGTCATTTATCAATCGAACCACTCAAGACAGTACTTGCAATGGAGCTCAATGGGTTCCGAATGGACCAAATAGGCACTTATTAAACTCTATTGATTTCCATTTAGTCTGTAAATATAATGATCGTTTATAAAATTCATTTTTATTAAGACAAGCTATTTCACTTATTTGTTTCTTAATAATTCTAGTAGAATATATAACGTCGGATATTTTTATCTTAGTAGAATTGGAGCTGAAAAGGATAACATAATGTAATTATTAGAACCAGCGAAGATGGAAGTCGCGAATGGAACATATAACGTTTGATGTTACTGTCTTAATCGAATTTGAGTTAAAAAGGATGAACATAAGCAATTATCAAAAATCAGCAAAGATGGAAGTCATTAATGGAACTTGTAATTATCAAAGATGGAAATCGCTAATAGCGTTTGACATTGCTAGCTTAACGAAATTGGAGGTGAAAAGGACAAACATAAGGCATTTATTTATTATCAAAAATCAGCAAAAATAGGTGTCGCTAGTAAACATTACAGGTGGATATTGTTATCGACGTGGAATTGGTTAAGAAGGACGAACGCAAGGCACTCGTTTATTATGTTATTGTTGAATTATCGTGTTAAGAATCTTTCTCTATTTTTCATGCTCCACATGTATTTACACGTATTTGTCATGCTTCAGATCAATGCTTGCGTTAGATATCGTTTTGGACTGAGATAGGATTGGGTTATTGTGTAGTTTAGATTGATCTGTTAATATCTAATGCAAGCATTAATTTGAGGCACATGTCGATGACCGACGTAGAACTTTTTTTTCACATACTTTCGTTTTCTAATATAACGTTAAAAAATAATTTTAAAATTTGCATAATTGATTAATATTGTGTTTATTATCATGTAATTTTATCGACCGGCGTAATCACGTGAGCTTGTATATACACGTCGGGTACAAATAGAAATACTCAATATCAAGTTTTATTCAAAAATTTTTTAAATAAAAATAAATATTGTAAAAAAAAAAAAAAATCGATTTAAGACTATTTACTCTTGTCTATAATTATCGGTCGAAACAGATATTCCAAGACCAAAGATACTATCTCCGCTATCATCATATCCTATTCCATTATTTTCATTAACGAATTCATCATGAAACATTTGTTCCTGAGCATTTGAATTTTGAAGCATAGCTAAACCTTCATTATTCATAAAATCATTTGATTCTATGTATAAATCAGACTGTGGTGGTGGTGTTAATATTACGTTAGCTGTAGCTGATACCAAAGTTGGGGACAAAGCTGGAGTACCATCGTTAGATCGTGGCCATTGTGAAAGTCTAGCTGATTGGGGAGGTGTTCGTAGCATATCATTATTTGGCTTCATATCAAGTGAATATTGTACCTGATCAATGTTATCTTGTATTGATTGTGATTGCTGTAATGGTGACGAACTAAAATCTTGTATAATTGGTGGTGGTGGTTGAGTTGATGAATGAAATTGCTGGTGTTATCAAAAAAAAAAAAACGAATGTAATAATAAATATTTTGTCAATTTAACGTAATGATTGAACCCAAGTCGGGTGATCGGATATTCGGGCTGCGATTATGGTCACCCGGATGGGCCTACGCGCGGGTGACGTGAATCGACCCGAGAAACTTAATATGATTTCCCAATTTATATTAACCCGAACGTGATAATTAGCCGATCAATTCGGTGTTTTATCAGACCGAATACCCGGATGTTATCGTTATGTGTCCGCACATAAGATTCCCGACCCCTGATCGGCCATCATTGTTATTGATACATAATCCTAAGATGATAGTCAGATGATCACATGTGCGGAAAATTCCTGATACCAACTATTTTTACTATTCTCAGGACAATCAAAAAATTCGTGATAACCGAGTGGATAAACTATCAACTTAATTGATAAGTTAAATATTAGAAACTTATCAACTCAGTGGAATAATAAAAATAGCTGCAATTGATTTTCATAATCAGCATGGGTCAAAATTCGAATCCTCGAGAAATTTTTTCTGTCATATAAAAAAAAATATCAGTCAGCCTAATCTGTTTTAATATTTTAATGTTATGAAAACCAAGGAATTAAAATGAGAAACTTACAATAAAAACTTCATCTGGCCATTATATTTCGATAGGCAAGCAACACATGGAATCTGATTCGGGATTTAGTGATTTCGATAAATCTTTAACTGGGTTAATCTGGTAACCCGATGACCCGGTACCCACCCAGGTGACCCTCGGGTCCACCTGTCAGGTAGCACCCTAGCAAATTTTGTCGCTAAAATGAGATTCAGCTTGAATATTCGCATTCTGATTGGACGAAATTATTCAAATGTAATATTTCTTCAAACTTCGAGAGAATATCTCGACTAGTGATGTGAATTGGACTACCGGTAGATACCGTTAGGCTAATAATATGTGAAGGTAGACACCAGCAGCTATCAACAAGTTAACATTCAATCATATTATTAGATACTAATCATGTGTCTAGTACTTATCGGTACTACCACTACTGGTAATTACATCTACCGGTAGCTACCAGTAGGAAATTAAATTCACACCATTAATCTCAGCAACCAACTATCCAAACTCAACAAAATTTTTTATTATACGTTCATATAGAATCGAAATAAAATAAAAAAATATATATTAATTTTATATCGGTGATTGTCGATATATAATCGCTCAAAGTTTGGAAAACCTTCGCTGCAGCTTCTATTTTGATAAGTTTTTCTAAACTTTGAGCCTATAACCACCTATCCAAGAATTAATAAAATTTTTTATTCAATTATGTAGATATATATAATCGAAATAAAAAAATTTTCATCGATCTTAAATAGATGGCTGCCGAGATATGGGTTTTCGTCAATAGAATCAAGCAGATTGACATTAAAAAAAAAAAAATTAACATTAATTTCTTTTAAAATGTCAATCTGCTTCATTTTATTGACGGTAGCCCATACGTTCGCTCAAAGTTTGTAAAAACTTTACCGCAGTTACTGCTTCGATAGTTATTCTAAACTTGGTGCAAAAATATTGATAACTACCTATTCAAAATTAAAAAAAAAAAAATATTTATTTTAATTATACAGACATATAGAATCGAAATAAAAATATTTACCAATTTTAGATAGGTGATTGCTGAGATATCTTCGCTCAAAGTTTGAAATTATCTAAGCTTTTTTTTAAAATTTGAGCGAAAATATCCCGACGACCACCTATCCAAAATCAGTAAAAATTTTTTTATTTTGATTATACAGTTATATCGAATCAAAATAAACAAATTTTTATTGATTTCAGATAGTTGCTTGCCAGACATCTTCTTTAAAAGCTAAAAAAAATTATATTTGGATTATTGATTTCGCCCAATTAGAATGTTTAAGTAAAATCTCATTTTAACGACAAAATTTTGTCGCCATGGCTAGAGTATTATCCGTAAGACCACCCGGGTTGTGATCTTTCAGACGAGTTCAATACTAATTTAGCGTATCTAAATTATCTTTTTTTCATAATAAATAAGTTTACTTACATCATCTTGGAACATATTATTATTTATGGAGGAAGGTTGTTGGAAAGCAGAAAACTGAAAATCTCTATCAGTTTTAAATATGAAATTGGGTTCATTCATAGGTTCTTCAGATAACGGTTGTGTTAAGAGGGAGCATGAACTATGCATCCTGTTACCATTTGTTGACCTGTAAACACCAGAATTTTGTCGTTTTGGCATAAAAGGTCCCGATTGCTTTTTGGCAATAACTGAATATTGTTTTCTCGTTGCTTTGTCATCATCTGCAATAAATGACTCCCATTCTCTAGGAACAATAGCATTTCTATCTATCTTCTTGCGATGTTGAGTCATACCTAACCATTCAGCAGGTCTGTCATTAAATCCTTCATCGTAATGTATCCTTCCTCGATCATACCTCCGTGAAATTCTAGAAATTTGATTCTCAATGACTTCAAGACGCATTAACATTTCTTCAGACTTTCTACAGTTTTCAGATTTTCTAATAGTGCCATCCTCAGTTTCCACTAAATCATATCTAGCATGCCAAATAAAAACACGTTTTGCAGGATTAATTGCAAATGGACCTGATACAGCGAGAGCAAAAAACTCTGGATGTTTTGATAATAATATTTCAAGACAATGAACTATTATGATAGCCCGTTGCATGCAGATTGCAAGAGAATCCGAAGAATAAGGTACATCAGGATATTGATCTGGTGGTCTTAGATATCTGCCATGGAGAAGGATAAGTATTGTACAGAAGAAAATATGCATATCACCTGGTGAAATAAAGTAAGACAAGAGTAAAATAAAGTAAGATAAAAGTAAAATAAAAGTAAGGTAAAAGTAAAATAAAAGTAAATAGGAAGTCATTATATGTATAATAAAATATCAATATAAATAAAGTTAATATATTTCACCTCCGATGCCATTCAATAAAGTTCCATTGGGATCTCTTACAATTTCATCAAACTTTAACCACTGCGGTAATGCATGAAGCCAACTTGCCAGTGCAGCATCCAGAACTTGGAATTTATTTTGATCATCTTGCATCAAAAATCTTAATCTTGATGCAGCATGTAAATATTTCCGCACCCTAGCGCAAATCCGACTGAGATTAATTAAATTAATATAAGCAATTTCGAGTCGCGCATCGTCGTCTAGTAAGTTCGAATCATATGATATTCGAGGTACATTTATATTACAATCAGTTTCGTCAATCATATTTGGTCGACCATAAGTTGTAGATACAAAACTTGAAACGATTTCGAGTTGTTAGCCAAATTATATGCAAATGGAATCGTTAAATTATAAAAAAATTTTTCTTTTTATCTTTTTATTTTGTTACTCACTTTTCAGATATGAAAGTCATCCAAAAGGCCTCATTTCGCAATCTTTCAACTTCTTCCATCTTAAATACTAAATTCTTACATTTACGATGCAACCCAAGCTCAAACAGCATTTTAGTCGCTATTCCATGATATGACCATGCTGCACCTGCCTGTTATTAAAAAAATAATGCAAACAAAGATTATAAGTAACGTAAGTTATAAGGACCAAAATTTGTTAAATTATACGTGCCTGTTTATTATGGCGACTTAAAATAATTATTGATATTACTGTCAGGACATGTGGTTTTGTACAATATTCATAAAGTAATTCTGGAAGGAAATTTCGAATCTATTAATTAAAAATTCGTGTAACAATGATAAACAAAATTTATGATATCCTCTTATGCAGTAGAGTATATAGTAAAATAGTACAGTAGAAACGCAAATTAGAACGGACGCGTGGAAATCATGATAGTAAGTACGGTTAGTAAAAAAACAAATTCTTCAAATTATTTTTCTATAACCTTAACACGAGACAAGGACTTCCCTAACCCAAACATTAAAAAAGGTTTACTTATAAAATTAATTTTATAAGTCTATGCTGACCATAGGTACGATCAAAATTTAGTACAAATTTCGTATGTCCGTCAAACATGTACTATCGTACAGTACTACTTTACTGAATGTTACATGTAGTATGATAAATTATTTACCTTCTGCTCGATCAAAATAAATCTTTCCATCTTGCTTGTCTGGATCATCATGGAATGGTGATGCAACAAAAAATATACAATTTAATAATAACAAGTGTTGTGGCTTAGATATATTTTGTAAAGCATCCCAGATAACTTGTACTCTTAAAGCAGGAAAATATCGATGGACGTGCTAAAAAAAAAAAATAAGGGGAGAAATGGTTATAGATCACAAAATTGAATGTATAAAACCATCGCATAATTTACCTTAAAATATAAGTTAATTAGCTGTTCAACTATTTCTATATTGGGTAAATACTTGAGTGAATCGTCAACAGGAGACAACTCATCCTGCCCTTCTGGCATTAATGGAATTATCCTTTCATCATTATTATCGTCGAGCATCAGTAATGAGCCTTCGCCAACGTAACGAGTTGACTCGTATAGCCTTAAATTTTCGATTGATAATGTAAGATCGCTCATTTCCGAGTCTTCGGATGTTTTAGGTACCTGTTGTATAAGTGCGGCAAAATCAGCTTGATTTATAAAATACGTTGGATCGTACTATCGTAGCGGGGTGAAAAATTATATGTCGGGAATAATTGATTCCAGGCATTGTCAAAAGTTAAATCAATCGGCACATTTATCCGCGAATTAGCTGAATATGGAAACTAAATTTAAAACATACTTGACATTGTTCAGGTGGTCTTTGAATGTTTGATGCGATATTAATCGAATTTTGAAGAACTTCAGTTGTGATCACTGAAGTACCGTCCTAATGGTAGAAATTGTTAGAATTTCTATATTTATTAATGGTTTGAATGAATCAACTTACATAGTTGCCAAAAGTATTATCACCCGGTTGAACTGTAACTAATGGTCTCGTCAGCATTCCAGAAATTTGGAAGTTTTCAACATCTACGCCGGGAGGAAGACGTGTTGCCATCGCCAAAAATCCCGTTTCGTCAAATAGTTGGCCAAACTGTACTCCCTGCAAGTAATTCAACTGATTTTCAAGGGAAGTTGAATCAGGCAGTGAACTCATGCCTTGCTGATCTCTCATAAATACAGTTCGATCCGCGTAATTGTAACTACAAGGCCTGCGCGTCTTCTTACAGGTTCCACATTCAGGACGTTCCTTGTCACATTTAACTTTACGATCTTTACAGTTATCACATGTTAAGACCAATTTAACCCTCTTTGTGGTTGTTGCGGGACGAAGATATGTGCTTGCCATTTATTTGTTCCGGTTGAGATACGGTTGACTGATTCTTTTATGTGAAACCAATACGATTGTTTCATAAAAATGCGCGCCTTTAGCTTTTTATGTGACACAAGTGCAACCAATATACCAACGGTTCTAGAATTCAAGGAGCATTGAACGTGAATGAGATTTGGTTGAATTAGTAAGGATATTAGATGTGGTATTTAACAAAGAACAATGCGCTGGCGTTGTTCCTTTTTGGTGCTCATCGTTTTGAAGCCATGTCTTTCGCATTAAGACCAAAAAAAATTTATCATATTATTTACACTATAATGGAATAATGCACAGTGGCTAATGTGTACGTACGTGAATAGACAATTTTACCGTATTTATTATGTAATTACAGAGGATTTTTTTAGCATTATTAGTCTTTATTAATATCTATTAACGATAACATCGTTAGGAGTTTTTAAAATTCTGTCGAGTAACTTTAACTTTTATAAATTAAACAATATAAATAAGTTACCCGGGCAATTGAACTTTGTGAGAACGTAACGTTTCACAGTATGACAGATAATATGACAGGGTCAGAAGACGAGACCAGATGTAACGTGAAAATTAAAAATTACAATCTTAAAATTTCGCTCAAGAACTACTTTCTATGCATTTTTTAACAAAAAAATTTTTCTAGCGAAAATTTGCGCAGTGTTACTTACTAACCCTATTACTACTGTACTGTCATATTTTAAGAAGTGAAGTGTTATCGGCTTGAATGGCTCGACTCTCAAATGTCATGACTTCAGCTTGAGCAATGGCTGTTGGAGCCGTGGCTTGAGCTGTGGTTTAGCTGTGGCTTCTATAAGTAACATTATATGCATTATATGTGTTCGATATAATGTGAAGTTTTAAAAGCGCAGCTTAAGCCATAACTTGAGACAGCTCTATGTTACGGCTAGAGCTGGCTTTAAATAAGTTGATAACAACTTTATCAAAGCGAGTTTTACTAGGATTTAACGTCATAGGACTTTAATCTGATTGGTTGATGTAAATTAATTGTCCGGGTAGCTAATTTATACAGTTTAAAAATACTTTTTTACACTGCAACGTTTCACCATTTTATTCATGAAAACAAAATTTTTTTCATAATTAGTTTCAGATGAGCGTTGCCTTTCACTATGCAAAACAAGCAAAAAATAAGCATAAAAACAAAAAACTTACAAAGATGATTCGTTAATTAATTTTTTCCATACAATTTTATTGGTTGATCTTTTTCATTGTTTAAATTAACCTTGATTTTTTTATCAATCTGGACATTGATTGGTCGGACTAAAGCGGAGTAGATTCTTATATATTATTGAATTAACTAGGGTTAGGGTCATCTTATATCAGGGTTAGGTTAGGGTTAGGGATGTTAATCGGTCCTTTGGGATCGAGTCCTAACCGATCCTTTCAGATCCTTTTAAGGATCGGTAGGACTCGGTCCTTAAGTTACACGAAAATACAATACATTTTATAGGACTTAGATCCTGAATTGAATTATTATAACAA